TGCCGAAAGGCGATCAAACACGAAATTGGTACAGCCTGGCAATCGGGAATGGGTTACAGTCATCCAGGCCATCAGTTCGTCGGGCTACAGCGTCCCGCCATACATCATTGTTGCAGGCCAATATCACCTCTCAACCTGGTATACTGAATCAGATCTTCCACGCGACTGGGTTATCGCAACATCTGAAAATGGATGGACAACAAACGACATAGGCCTGGATTGGGTTAAGCACTTTAATCGTCATTCAATGCCACGTGCAAGAGGTCGTCATCGCCTCCTTATCGTCGATGGGCATGAAAGCCACCACTCTGCAGGTTTTGAGCTATATTGTCAGGAAAACAACATCGTCACACTCTGTATGCCGGCTCATTCATCTCATCTACTTCAGCCCTTAGATGTAGGATGTTTTGAGCCTCTCAAAACGGCGTATGGTCGACAAATTGAGGATAAGATGCGGCGAGGTGTAACCCACATTACGAAGGAAGACTTCTTTCCGGCGTTTCGCGAGGCCTTTGCACAAGCGCTTACGGAAAAGAATATCCAGGGAGGATTTAGAGGCTCTGGGCTTGTCCCTCTGAGTGCAGAAAGTGTGTTATTGAAGTTGGACGTCAAGTTACATACTCCAACACCTCCAGGATCACTTCCAACAACACCACTCCCTTGGGTTTCCAGGACACCAAACAACCCAACAGAAGCAACTTCTCAGTCAACACTAATTAAGGATCAAATTGCCCGTCATCAGGATAGCTCCCCGACACCTATTAACACCGCAATTGACCGTATTCTTAAAGGAACGTTAGGAATTATGCATCAGTATGCTTTAAAGGAGGCTGAGAACAGGACCCTTCGGGAGGAAAATAGTAGGCTTAGCCGACGTCAGAGAACTAAGAAAACACGTCTCCAGCAAGGAGGAAGTCTTACTGTAGCTGATGCAGAGGATATACAGTCACAGAGGGATGCAACAGCGCAGGTTCAGGAGGAAACGCGTCGGAGTAGTGGTCGCAAGCCGAGGACTGAATCAGGTCAACGGCGGTGTGGCATCTGCGGGAACACAGGACACAATGCGCGAACATGCCAGTTTGATGTAGAAACGTCTGAGGAAGAGGATTCTGAGTAGTTTTAATTGATTTAGTGTTGTTGATGTTGATGTCTCCTGGGTTTTGTGTTGTGGTTGCGGTTAGGTGGCGCGCTCGCTTGTCTGGCGCGCTCGCTTATCATGTACGTTACTGTATTAATACTCTTTGCTTTTTATTAAAAATAGAACGTTTACTAAGCAGAAGAAGTAGTAGTATAATTAATGAGTATAATGTAAACCCTAAATAGGTCTACCATACATCTCTATACCCTATATAACCTATGGCCTATATAAGTACTTAAAAAATACCTATGGGTGTCTATATAGGTTCGCCACTATTGGACCTATGGTTATTTTGAAGCCTATTTACTTATACTAAACCCATTAGGCCCTTCTTTTCTTCCTGCCATTAGCTAACCTGTGGCTTTTATAGGCATAGGGGGGGGGGTTCTTGTACTTCTTCTCTTTCTGCCCTGACCCTGCTTTTCTTCTGCTGCCGTTGTTCTTTCCCTTCTTGGTGTAGCCCTGCTTTGTATGGCTGAACAAGAAGAAGGCCGAGGAAGTGGCTAGAAATAGACTGGCCAAGGGCTGGGGCTGGAGCTTCGTATGGCCATCGTTCGTACCGGGCGCCTTCTGGAAAGGGCAGCCACCCTGCCGTTTCCTGCTGTATAAAGACCGGCCACTCTGTCTCTACAGGGCCGCTTCCTGTCCCCTTCCTGCACGGCATCCTGGGGACTATGCCCAGACCGTTGGCTGTTGGCAAACCCTGAGCCCTGCCGGCCCGGCCCGCTCGCCAGAGACGGCGGCGGCGCTCAACCTTGCATCTCCTCTTTCTCCTTTCCCCGCTATCGCCGGCGTATTCACGCGTGAGTGGGCGGGCGCTGACGGTCGGCCCATCCTCCGCCCTTCCTCCGGCTACAAGAAGCAGTCTCCTCTTCTCCCTGCTGCAGCCGGCACCAAACCCGTGGTTGCCGATAGGAAGTGCTTAGAAGGCACCCCCTTGGCCTGGTCGGCCAGCCACCTGGCTGTGGGGCCGTGTCGCCCTGTATAAAATCCGCCGCGGCCGCCCTCTTCCTCCTGCTTTCGCCTTTCTTCTGACGCGGCTTGGCCATTAGTGTGCGTGACCGGGTGGAAGGTCTGGCGCCGGGTGTGTCTGGACGGCGGGCCTGTTGAGGGCTGCCGTTGAGACGCGGCCTCCGTTGTCGATGGACCCCCCTCTTATATTCACGGTTGAATGAACCAGGGAGGACGGTGGTTGGAGGCAACGACGGCGCACCGTAGTGGCTTTCCGTGCTTCTGACGGGCTCCGCGGGGGCTCCGCGGGGTGAGGGCCGCCGGTGAGTCGGTTGCGAGAACCTGCGCTCGGGTGCCTCGGGTGCCGCGAGCTGCTGGGCGAAGGCGGCCGCCGGTTGTCACCTTGGGCGGTCCGCCGGCCGGGGCAGGCACGTTGTCTGGGCCGTGCCTGCCGGGGCCTTGGCCGATAGAGGGTTGGGGGCAGGGCTGGCGTGAGGCCCGGCGGTGGACCGATGCCTACGCGCAAGCGCGCCAACATGGCTGCCCTCGCTCCCGGGCGTCATCTTCAAGGTACACTGCTGGTTGCCTGCCTCTTGCCCTTGGCTGCGCCTGCGGCTTTTATAGGGGCGAGGGCTCCTTACACTCGCCACCCTAAGCCTTCCCTCCTTTCCTCCTGTTGGCATGACAAGGGGGATATTCTGCGGGGCATTCGTACGTATCGACAGGTTGGAAACTGGCGATGGCGTTGCTTCGTGAAGTGTTTTCGTTATAAATAGACGCACTTGACAAGGCTCTCGTCGTCTTTGATAACGATCGCCATGGCATCATCATTTCAGACGGCATCAAACTATAAGTCAGGAAGATACTGCACGCTAAACCGACTAAGTCACAGGGTGACAGTGGCGACCTGTCTAGAATAGCCGGACGAATGCGTGTGGATATCTATTCGAACGCTTTTACTTATAATGTGGCGTAGTGCGACTAAGTACGATGGAGCAATGCGGTACCTGCCGCCTAGTTGGTAGTAAGGTATTGTAATAAAGAGGACGTAAGCGCCAGCCGCCCTCGTTAGAAGGCAGGTGCTTCTCTCCACTCTTGCACTTTTGCGCTTTCTTCTTACGGCTCTACCACAAGCCTCGTGCCTTCCGTTTGTCTTCAACGCAAGATACCCAGCGTTACTTCCCCAAGTGCTCGAGTGGGAAGGTCCCCTTCTTCCTCAACCTATAAAAAGTCTTCTTCCCTCGGGCCGTCCACTTCTTCAACTTCCCCTCCACCTCAACAAGCTTGCTCGATTCAATACAACATACTCCAAGCCCTCTACCACGATCATCTCCAACACCACTCGGCTCTTCTTCTCTTCCTACCAAGAGCCTGGTAGATCTTTGGCCGGCGTCGTGCTTTCCTTTCTCGTTTCGGCTCGACTCAGTCAAAGTTGCCACGTCCCTCTCTTGTCATAAACACTTCCTGCGAGGGAAAGGGACCGAGCCTTTCGTCTGGCTCAATCTTCGGTTCGGGATCAAACAGCGGAGAAGATGGTGCAAGCACGAACAGCCAGCATTCCTCTTTCCCTGACGGCAAAGCTGCCGTTGTCAATTCTTCCCCGCAGATCGATGAGACAGTTTCTCAAGAACAACCCATGGACTTGAATGATGTGCAACGGGCAACCCTGGTTGCTCACTATCCCGGAATGGGGTCTCCTGCCACTGCCTCTGAGGATTCCGATCTCTTTGTCCTGCAAAAAGAGGAAGAAATGGCCAGAAACAAGAATAGTGGCAGGGGCCCGACCGGTTCGGACACTATAACAGCAACGGACCAGCCAGAGAATCATACAGCCAAGGAGTCAGACTCCTCCGATGCCCATATACCATCGGTCACACACTTCGACTCAAACAAGATGGAGCACGGCGGACCGAACCAGAGCCACCTATACGACCCACTATCGGCGACTGCAGAATGTGATGATGCAGCGATGGACGTTGTGATGGGATGGGGTGGATTGGCAGCCAGGCACCCAAACAACGCAAGGGTCTGGCGGCTGGGAATAAAAAGGGAGGTTGGCTATAGTCATTGCCAAAGGAGAACGGCAGCACACACCCACTATCATGATTAGATCCGTATCATTAGTTAGTTGGTTCTTACAGCAGACTATACGTATACTTGGTTTCTAGGCTAGTCTACTGCCTTATTGCTGCAAAAACGACGCAGTCAATTACAGCCAGTAACGAACGCCTTATATCCTGTGACGCTTAAATGCTAACAGGCCTATGCTAGGGCTACGTCTCTTCTAAAGTACTAGCCTTAGAATCTACTCCATTGACACCTTCTTACTAACCTTTAGTCTTATGAAAAAATAAAAAGCTACAAAGTAACCATAAGACAGTAAAGTGACAGATAGTACTTAGGGTTAATGATAACAAGAGCCTACATACCTCTACAGCAGTTGCCTTGCGGTCTATAGGTTCTCTCTCTCTTGCCTCTATTCTATCTCTTTATCCTTATCTATATCTCACTCTTCTTGTCTGTCTCTTATGCTGTACTACTACTATATATACCCTGTCTACCTCTGGTGTCCTTTTGCGTTAATCTTATGCTACCTCTCTCTTACCCTTCTTGCCTTGTAGTGCTTATGCTGTGTATGCTCTACCTGCGTCTATGTTGCTGCGCTGCGTACTTCCGGCCTGCGTCTGCTACTCTCCTTCCTTGCCGTGCCGCATACGCCTGGCCTGCGTCTGTCGTCCTCTGGTGTTACTGCGCTGCTCTCTTGCGTTGCTGTGCTGCCTACGCCGACCTCTTGCGTGATGACCCTGCGCGTGAACCGTGTCTGCTGTCCCTTTGCGCAATGACCCTGCGTGCTGCTGGTGCCGTTCTCATATAAGCCCCTGGGTCGGAATACCTTCTAACGACTGGAATGGGGCGCTCAGTTCAGTGGTCTAGAACACCTCCCTCCCTTGAGAGCTTGGGGAGACCTGGGTTCGAATCCTGGAGTGCCCGGCTTTTTATATCCCCATCCGGTCCCATTTTTTGCCCTGATTCCAGATATCCAGTCCGTTTTGTCATACGACGTCCCGGCGACGAGATGGAAGCCTTTGAAGTCTAGGTGTACTACGGAATGTCTTGGTTCTGCAAACCCTGTGACTCTGTACAACCCACCCCTATGCCCATCTGGTCCCGTTTTTTACCCCGGTTCTAGATATCCAGCCTGTTTTGTTATACAACGTCCCTGTGAGAAGATGAAGGCCCCTAGAGTCTGCACATACCACCCTGTGTCTGTATTCTGGAATGCCGGGCCTGTAACCCTGGTGTGTAGCGGTTCCATACCGCTCCGGTCCTGCTGTATACTCTGGTTCTGGGTTGTGAGTCCGGCTTGTTCTACAACATCCCTGTGGAGTACCAGCATTGGGGGAGTATAAAAAGCCTGCTTTAACCTTAGTAACCCTAAGTATGTACGTATAATTATAATTCTATGTAGGAAGTAGAACGCTAGTAAGTATGAGGCACAAATCAAGGGGTTGGAAACAGGCGATGGCATTGCGTTGTTCAATAAGCTGACTCTCTAGGAAGGGGGCTGGATGAAGTGAAGTGGGTGGAGGTGGGGCAGCTGCGTCGTGGTCTGTGCTTCCTTCCCTTGGGGTTATCGGGCAGCACACCTCAACCCCCCACGGTAATCGGCTGCAAAGAAGTCGGCGACAGGGCACGGGCCACTCTGCCTTTTTTGCACCCAATCACCGGACCCTAACCCTGGTAATCGGCCAGAATACCACCCGCAATGACGGATAGGACGACAAGTTAAGGCTGTATAGCTTGAGGGTAGAGTACTCCCTAACTAGGGAGCAGATCCGGGTTTAAGTCCTGGTGCAGTCACTATTTTTTTTCTTTTTCTGTGTATTAAATACTAACCATCAGGTTGCCGGCGTCGCGGGTTCTGTAGTAGGCCTGGTTGAGTTTGGCCTCCGTTGGCCTTAGCCACGATGTCCGGCAAGGCCTCCTTCGGGCGCAGCCCGTTACGATGTCCACCTGCCGCCGTCATCCCCCTGGCCCGGCCCTAAAGCTCATCTGACCTCACCTTGCCTATATCCCCCGGTGCAAATCCACAGTTCTCAAGCCCCACCCGAGTCGCGCTCACCTCCAGCGGCCCAACCGACTGAAAATCTTCCGCTTGCCCGTTAGTGAGCGAGTTCATCCTCTCGAGGGACGTAACAAAGCCCTTCTGCGACCCGTCGACCGCAAGAAGCACCCTGCTTCTCTCCCCTTCTTCCCACCTCACCTCCCAGCACGATAGGCAGTCGCCGTCGTCCCACCCGGTGATCGTAGGCATCGCAAGAATCCCCGGCGCTACGTTTTCCTGCACGAGCCAGTCGTTCGCCTCCCGGAACAGCCCGGGGACATTCGGGTTCCAACATGCCACCTCGCTTAACGACCGTTTGCCCTCGTCGTAGATCGTGTCGTACGTCACTGTTCGTACCGTGGTAAGAGGAAAGCCTTGTTCAGGGACAGGCCCGGCAGGAAGGATAGATAACACTTACAAGACACCCGTAGCGCCATGGCGCCGAGGGTCGCGGAGGTAACCGTAGCTGAGAGTGTTGAAAACCGCATGGTGATGATTGTAGAGTGGAGGATCGCGCAGCAAGAACAGCCCTGGCAGGAGGTTGGAGGAAGAACAGGAGGAAGGACGATGTGGCCGCAACACCAACAGAGGGGGGTTGGCTGTACTGTCAGGTTGTAACAGGCACCCATGGCCACACTCGGCGGCCTCGGCCTAACCCCGACCGGTTGTGATTCGTCGTTTTGCTGAGGTGTATTACATACACGTTGTATTCGTGCTTAGTCAGGCCCCTGGAACGAACCTGGCGCAAGAGACCCCGGTATGGCTCGCCTAGGCCTGTTCTCTTAATCCCCACTGGACGACACACCCGGACGGCCCTAGCCGACGAACCTTACCACACCGGGACAAGCAGTCAGACGGCAGCTTGTCCATAAGCTCGGCATCCGTCACATCAGCTTCCTTTTCAGCCTTGCTGAGCTTAGGGATGCAAACCACTTATTGTCTGTCTGCGTATCGTAGACGTTCATCAGGTCGACGGTATTATCTGTGTACGCCGTGACTCCCTCTGCCTGTGTACACCCGGTTGAATGCGTAGCCTAAATGATGGACCAACAAACCCTAGCGTGGCATGGTGGGGGGCCTTTTGCGTCGCCTACAGGTATAACCATGACAACCAACAAACACCTTCCTAGTGGAGGTATTATCGTACCATATACCCCGCCCTTAATATCACTGTTGGTTCATACCATTTGTGTTTCTACATACGACCCTTACACGCCTGGGGTCTCCGAGCTGCGCCGCAGGTAAGACTTCGGTTCACCTCCCTCCCCTCCCTAAGGCAGTAGGGGGGGCTGTAATACTTAAGCAGTTCTGTCAGCTGCTGCTAGAAGACCCAGGCCTGCTTTCTCTCATCCTCTACCTCTTCATCAACATTAACGAAACAGCGCGTTGAAATAATTATTCACTAGTACGCTACACATCCTAAGCCAGCCATCTCAGCAGGCTAGGTTAGGCCATAGGGTATGCTAACGGGTATATAGAGACGATACAATGACGCCCGTGAGAAACCTCCTTCTGTTCGGCTACGCCGCCACGGCCTATGCGGTGGCTGCGCTGAGCTTGGGTGATACGCGTGCCGCCGTCCTCTGCGGGGACCTCGGCGTCCTCAACGTCGAAACCAGCCAGCTACCAGAGGGCGTGTCTCCTGCCGACCTGCGTATGTGTGCTGGCCATCCGAATGGCGATGTGCGTGTCCTCGACCCGGCAGAGGGCGCGTCGCTGGCTCCTGTGGATCGTGGTGCCGAGGGGGGCGTGCCTTCCGCCGGTGAAACCCCCGTCCCTTCGAGCCTTCCGCTTGGCGAGAGGTCGTGCTACCACGGGGCGCCATATGGTTGTTCTAGTGGGTACTGCTGGAAGGCCTGCGGGGATAAGATCAAGGGCGAATGGTGTTGGACTGCTGAGAAGTTTGGCCTCGGCGCTTGGAGTACGTGTGGCAGTTGGCAGGACTGTAATTCTCTTACGGCGGGCTGTGCTGCAGGCTGTGTTACGTCTAGGGCATGTGGCTGTAGTTGTTAGATTCTTTTAGGTTATGGCTGGGGATAAACCCTAGATGGCAGTCTATACGAGACTATGGTGGTCTTCTAATGTTCACTGGCCAGAACAACCTGTTTTGTAACTGGTTCGGCTGCACTGCCACTGTCATTAGGAATCCTCTGAAAACCGGTGCCAAACTGAAACCCTGACCAGTATTAAGTCAGCTACGGCTGTTAACAGAGCACAGGGGCAGTCACAGTGTCTCTCCTTGTTGTCTTATTTGCCATCTCCCAGGACCAGACTTAAGCCAGCTCCCTCCCCTTCCTCCCCCCTCTCTCTGTCTTCTTTTTTCTTGTCTCCTTATTTTTGTTTTCTACAAGGCAGCAAGGAGTGTCTTAGGTGGACCCCTCCGGCCTCGGTGGCAGTCGCCTTAATGTGATAGTATTCTTCAGGGTAGAGTCATGCCAGGTATGGACCAGCCTGACGGACTGTTGGCTGTTGTGATAAAGCCACTCTGATAGGACGGCTGCCGTAAGACAGGCATATGTCTCCGAAGTCGCGTCATGCACAGGCTGGTTGGGGTTGTTTAAGCCTTGTGTGCTTAGGGTCCCGGGGAAGGAAAGGCCTGGAGTTTATAGCCAATATGAGGCAAAATGTTACCGGGGAAAAAAAGAATGACTACGCTAGGGATTGAACCCAGACGTTCCCCTTAGTTAAAGAGGCCCTCTGCCGTCAACGTATACAGCCTGTCAATTGTTAAGGATGGAGTGATTGTTATCATACTTAAGGTTGGCGATGAATGTGTTTCTGGGTTGGGCGTGGGTATCGGCAAGGTTTTCAGGTCATGGCCCATGGATGCCCGGCCTTAGGGGAATCTACAGACTGGGGACTTGCACTAGCTTTGTTAGTACAGCGGCCGGCGACTTATGATCAGGTCCCGCCGTGATATATGGGCAGGAGCTGGTGAAGACGACCGACGGCGGGGAGTACTAGAGCCCTGGCGTCGGAAATGGCAATAGACATAGTCACAGGGGTCTTGCTGTTGACGCTGGTGTGGCCGAACGCTTGAGTATGAATTGAAGCTAAGGGCCCGCTAGCTTAATAGTAGAGCTTCCCCTGAGTTAAGGGTTAGGTCTGAGTTTGAGCTGCAGGTATAGGCCGGTTTCTTTTCCTTTTCTTACCCTCTCTTTTTATGTTGTTCTTGGGTTTAACTTTCCTTCATGCTACGACCAGCTCAAATATAAAGGGCCGTCTCCTGTTGTTCTATAATTACTTACCGCCAGGTCGGAGGCAATTTTCAAAACAACCTTTAGACTTATTTTATCTATCCGGCACCGCTAAGAGTTAATAAAGCTCTTACACCGCCTCATCCAGATAATATCTTAACTATAAATAAAGGCTTCATGAGGGTGGAGCAATCCCCTAACGAAGGAGAAGATCTAGGTTTAAGCCCTAGTGCGGTCGCTCTTTTTTTCTTTTTCTTTATGTTAAGGGCTAGGTAAACCTTCCGTAGGAGACACTAGCTATTTGTTTAGCTTGGTTAGATTTGCCTACATTTACTTGGGCCATTGCTTGTTCCTTGTGTTATTTATTCTACTGCCTGGTATAATTCTCGTGCTTTATTATCTTACTACTTTACTACGTCCCGACCTTTTACCTAGTACAGCGTATTTATTGTATTATATATGTATACCTGGTAAAAATACAGCGTTAACCAGTGGGGTTACCCTACCTAATCTTATGCTACGTATTAAGATCCTTACTTACACTGTAAATACGTACCCCCTCTCTCTTTACACCTGTGATTACTTCAGTCTATTATGGATATTATAGCAGGGTACCTTCCGCCCTACTTCAGCCATCCTTTTCCCTGCAGACCAGCACATACGACCATACCTACTTGAAAGCTCGGGAT